GCGCACCTGGTGCGCGCGCTCTGGACGCTGGAGTACACCCCGCAGCACAGCCGCGACTTCAAGGTGGGCGCCCTCCCGCGCCTGCCCCGTGCTGCCCCGGCGCCGCTCGTTCCCGGGGCGGGGGCCGCGGGCTGGGCAGGTGCACCGGTTGATCGCGAGGGGGATCGATCATTGGCTGGCTTTCGTCCATCGCGTGTTTATTAAGCGTGTACCGCGTGCCAGGCGCTCCGAGGAGACTTGACAGCGAGCGAGACTGTTGAGCCGGGCTCAGGTCTCGGTCTCGTCACTTGCTAGTAGTGCGACCTCGGCGACTTTCCCAGTCTCTCTGCCGGTTCCCCTGGTGCCGACCTCGTGAAGGGGCTGTGAGCCGCAGACCAGGCTGGCTGTCCCATCGATCGCTTTGGGACTGCCCATTTTTCATCGTTTTTGACTTCGAGATCGGCACTCTTAGGGGCTCAGCCTCGTATGGAAGACGCCTCAGCTGTGCACAGCACCACGTGTATTTGCTGCTCTGGTTACTTTTATTGTTAAGGACTTTGTAATAAGTTAACGCGTAATATCTGCTTTGAAGAAAGTAAAACCTGGTGATGCCACTGATGTGCTGCTAGACCGCTTCCAGCGCGGAGGGGGTGGTCAGGGTGACCACTTGGAGGACGTGACGGTGGAGCTGAGACTTGAGTAGCTAGAGAACCTGCCTTGAGGAGGTCGGGGTCCCTCTTCCCAGGTGTGAGGAAAGTGGTGCCCTCGGGGACCAGTGGAGCCTCGGGGAGACGTCCGTGAAGGGCAGCAGAGTAAATAGTGTAGGCTTTGTGGTCAAGATGCAAAATCGGGGCTATTATGTAGGTACCTATATGACAAGAGAAAACAAATGTTCAGTGTTTTATTGACAAAAATGTACAGTGATAGTACAATATTTTGTAGTACAGGTTACTAATGAGAAAAATGAAATTCTTTTTTTGGAGGGGATAACCGTTTAGTTTAATTGCAGTTCAGAATGAGTGTTTCCTATCATCAGGTTTAATACAGATATTAATTTCTACAAACTATTCTTAGCTCATGGGCCATACAGGTACAGGCGGTGGGCTAGCTGTGGCCCTGGGGTCCTCCCAGTGCGCGGGTTGCAGCTGAGGGCTGGGCCAGGGATGTGGGGCCATTTAGGCTGCACCGAGGAAGTGGACTTACGGTTTGAGATTGTACGAGGATTACTTTTAGGTGAGAAATAGATATAAATAGAGTTAAATTAAGTAGAATGAAACCACACAGTGAGAAAGTCCATTCTTTTTTCGTTTTTTCTGTCCTGATCATGCTCAAGAGAAAGTCTCAGCTGCGTGGTGGCCTGACTTGAACACCTTGCTCACTGCCCACCTTGTGTTTTAAACAGAGAGCACGAGCCTCAGTTTAGAGGCTGTAGTAGGCAGCAGCAGCTGGGATTTAATGCAGTTATGTTCTCCTTGGGCTCGTCTTTACTTTTGTCTTGTACTCACTGCAAGTGGCCCTGGGTTTTCATTGCTGCCGTGATGGTTCTTTCAAAAACCCTTTTATGTAAGTGAATGACTTGATTAAAATGTAAAATGGTATCTATCTGAGGAGTTGGCACTTGGTTGAAGACTTGCCTTCTTGCGGAGGAACAGGTGCTGGGGTGCACCCCCCTTTAATACACTTCACTTACATTGTATTTATACTTATGTTGTTCTGTTCTCTTTTTCTCAAAGAGAAAAAAGTGGTTGCTGTTTGATCTTGGAAATCTGAATGGAAATACTTGACTGGTATGGGGGCTGGAATAGTGAGGTCCCTGTCGGAGATCTCAAAATAAGGTGGGAGAGGATGGCAGTCAACCAGCCACTCAGTCTTTTTCTGTTTTACTTTCTGCTTATCGTTGCCTGTAAGGAGCCACAGCAGTTACAGACTTTTCAAGGTCAGAGCCCATTGTTTTAGGTTTTGTTTTCTCCTCTTTTTCCAAACGTGAAAATCAATTTCTGCAGCATTTTGGTATGAGAACATCTCCATTGCTTTTTAAGAGATTGTGTTCATTCTTTTATCCATTAAAAAGTTGTGAACAGAAGTAGGTCAGTAATTCTAGAAATGCAGAGACTGATTTCTAGGCCTGCTTTGGTAAAGTTGAGCAGATTCTTAGAGGCTCTATTTTTAAAAAAATGTAATCTTCTGAACCTTTAGTAGATTTCACTTTGCAGCCCTTCGTTCACCTCCCATTTATTGAAGGTTGACCCAGCCAGTTAGGAGTGTGTTTAGCACGAGAAAGAGGAAGCCCCAGTGATGGTTCCTTAAGATGTAGGTGGTTCTCAGGTGGCACAGTGCCTTGATGGGCCCAACGAGGATCCAGGCCATTTCTGCTTTCCACTCTGTTGTCCTTAGCTGTTACTGTTTTTTTGTCATTAATGTTTGTCACCTCATGGCATTCTACCCAATCAGGACAGGAAGTCATTAGGGAAATAAAAGTTCGCCCAGAGCCCCCTCAGCAGGCTTCTCCTGACACCTCATTGACTCTGACCATGTCACTTATACTGCTGGCTGCCACGGAGGCTGTAAGGTGGACTTTTGGGTTTTCCTGCCTTCATAGAAGAGATGAGTAGAGGAGGGGCTTGCCCCAGGCAGCCCACCAAAGCACTCATCCGCCATGTGCCACGCACTTTCATTTGGGGAAGATACTGTACCTGTGAACTGAGTCTGGAGAAACTTGGCAAGTTCCCCAGGACACTATTTCCACACCTTATGTGCCTATAATTCACCTGGGCTTCTGTTACAAAGCAGATTTGGATCTGGTAGAGCTGGGTGGGGCCTGAGATGCTGCATTTCTAACAAGTCCCAGGGGATGCTGGTGGCTGGTTACAGCGTGGAGCGGAAGGGGTGCAGAAAGCCTGGGAGAAGTGTGCTGTGAGTGGATTGTGAAGCGCTGTGTAGGCTGCACTGGTTGAAACTATCCTCTGGAAGTGGAGAATCCAGAGCTGACTTTAGTAGGAGAGGTAGGATCAGCTTTCGTCTTTTTCCTTTATTTCTCCCCAATTTGGTAAGCCTGGTGGATTACCAAGGAGATAATTTTCTTTTTTCCAAAATGTTTTATTACAGCCAAATTCGATGGCTGTGATTTTGAGCATTAAGGAAGTTGAACACCAAGGGAGGTGGATGTGAGGGGAAGTTGCCACCACTGCGCACTGGCCCGTTTGTGGTGGACACCGGTATCTGACGCATGTCCTCTTGAGTGGGCTCAGCCTCAGAATCCTGTTCAGCTCTGGGCTCCAGGCAGCCGCTGCCAGTTGATTGGAGTTCGCAGAGGAGTTTAAAGCATTTTACCGTCTCAAGATAGTTTGTCTTGAGGTCTCGAAAAGCACTTAGTATGTCTTTGAATGTGCTTTTATTGTCTTCAAACTTCCTTAAGTTACTAATAATTTTCTTTGTACATTTTTCAATTAGAGTTTTTTCTTACTTTCTAACCGTATTGATTAGACCTTAGAAGCTTGCCAGGTAAATGGATTTTTGGTGTTGGAAGAGCTAAATGATGGTTAAGGCTGGATTTTCATTTTCCAGAGTGAAATGGGTTGACTGTACCAACCTGGGTGTGCTTTAAGAACCTCTCTAGCTGCCACCTAGATCCTTTGTTCTTTTTATGCAGATATGTTTACCTGCTCTTAGAGCTGTGGTTCTCAGCCACGGTGCTTTGCCTACTCCCACCCTTCACTCCTGGGGACATTTGGTGATGTCTGGAGACATACTTTGGTTGTCACAGCTTTAATAGGGTGCTAGCATGGATGCTCCAGCTTCTTGAAGATGCTCTCTGGCTTCCAGTTCTCAGTACCCCTTTGCAGTAAGAGAAAGATATATGGTCATCTTCCAAGTAAGAAAGATAAGTTTTATAGCAGCAGTTCTCAAACCATGCTCCCAAGAAGAACTAGAACATAGTGATCTCCTGATAAAAGAACTGTGGGAACTCTGTCTAAATTGCAGCAAAACAAAAAGTAATAGAATTTTCTGTCCCATGGTGTTTTCCTTGAACTTTGGTGTCTAGGGGTGCTCATTTATTAGTGAGCACTCTCAGGTTACAGAGGGAGCAAACATACATAAATGAGGAGTGACAGACAAGCTAGCATCAGGGGCTGATAATGGCTTGGTGTCACACCTTGATTTTTCATGGACTCACGCTACAGGCCTTTGATAGACGTTTTCCTGGTTTGTATGAAGCTGTTTAGTATGTTGAAATTTCACAGTGGTTTCCAAGAAGTACTCTGAATTCAGGGTGCCCCTTGAATTCATTTGAAAAACTAGAAGAAAAAAAAAAGAAATTGTGTAGGTCACATTTAGATTTGTGACAGTATAAAATAGAAAGTACGTCTCTTCCTGGTCAGTTCTCTTGTCTGTTAAATGCTGTCACTTTATAGTCTTAGTGAAGCTCCAAGTCTCCAAAGGAGGAAGGAGGTGATAGAGTCATCACGTTTTTGACTTGGAAGGAGACCTGGGTGGGTGTGAGCAGACCCTGGCCTTTCTGGATGAGGGAACCGAGGTTCACCTGCTGGCTAGAGGCTGAGGGAGCAGAACCAGAGTTTTGAGTTCCACTTTGTCAGCCTGCATTGCTGATGCTCACACTGAGTCCTATGTCTGGGGTTTCCTTATTAGTACAACCACTGAAAGGACAGGTCTCAACATAAAATGCCAGCCGGCAGGTAGACGTGCTGAAACGTGTAGTGTTTTCCTCTCTAAGGTCATGGTACTGAATTGGAGTGAACATCAGGTCAGCCACAGCTGCTTCATGCATGCGCCTAGGCACTTTGCAAGTCTTCCTTAAAAACCATTCTTTCTGGCTGGTCCAATGCGTATGTGAACATGTACACGTTTTTTACATGGAGAGACTCATATTCCACAAGTAGCTGTGCATATATACTCTCAGTCTAGTAACTTACTTTCCCTTGCTCCCTCACCTGGTACATTTGAGAGGAGAGGAGGGCGGATGAGGCTGGGAAGGGATGGGCAGGTAGGCAGAGGCCGGGTCATACTGGGTCTTGTAGTTGCACGTAAGGGGTTTAGATTCTATTCTAAGGGCAGTGGGGAGCTGC